ATAATTTATTTAGACACTCGAACTACAATATGTTCATATTGAGCACCTGAACACATGATGAACTGTTCCTATTAGACAGTCTTTTGACTCAAATGCTTGAAAAGCTTTTGTCTGTTCTCAAACGTTCATCACATAAATAAGTTAACGACTTAAAATATGTCACCTCCGTTAATTATATGCATTAGTCTCAATAAGCCATAAAACTTTAGGTTTACTCCAATTGAGGCCAATGTGAATATGTTAAAAGCTTTGTTTCCGAATGCAATTAGTGTTGATCGCACTAGAAGCATATATAGGAGATATTGAATTCTCTTGGCTTCTTCGTTTCTGCACTTTATTTATATTTAGGAATCCGTTGGTGAAAATTCTCACGGAGTATAGCTCACCATCCAAACATCTGATTGTAGGGAGACTTCAAACAACTAGTTGATTGAAATCAGCTCAGTTAGGGTGTCTTTCTTCTAATATTTGACTATCATAGACACCGCGAAGATCAACAAAAGACGAGCCTTACATGAAAATTCCAGCCAAACAATACAACATTTTTATGTCCTCTTCTGCACACATGGTAGATACATGTACATTCATATGTTCACAAGTTAGTACAGAATGAACATCATGCCCATTGCATCACTGGTAAAAGCATATTACGAATACGAATATGAACAAAAAGGGAAGAACAAACAAGAAGCATCACGAATCGTGATCAAGCTTTTGAAACTAGTGAAATATCAGAGTTAATACAAGAAATCTCTTCAACTATTTTCTCAAGTGCAATTTCATCTTTTAGTATACCTGTATGTGAAACTCCTTGTAACTTGATGACTTTAAGGTGTTGGTAAGTACTCTTATTTGATTCAAAACTCAACAAGCTTACCATATTAACAGTACCATCTCCATCCCCATACACAATCTCAGGCAACTTATCAAAATCCCCATCTGCATACAACAACCTCTCGGGAGTTTTAACCCCACAACCAATTACACAAGTGATAGGCACTTGATCAGTACTAGTTACCAAATTGTCAACCAAGGGCAAAATACGTGATGTATAAGGCAAAACCCCTTCAGGAAACCCGATATCCTTAAGGAATTCCGGGATGTCATGAGCTGAGTATGTAACATTAGTGGTAACAACAAGTGGTGATTTAGTGTTAAACACTTTCGGAGAAGGCAAAAGCCACATATTACTTTCAGAACTCCTCTGTTCTTCCCTTACGAGTAATGGATTAACTAAAGGCACACCAAGTGTGTTACCAGAAGCAAAAGTGAGCATTTGCATAACTGTTCCTCCCCATGGTGTGGCCAATGCTATAAAGTGTTTGATGTATTTTTGACTCCAGGATTTTGGATTCCGAACGAGTAGTTGCTGGACATATAAACCTCCTAAGCTGTGAGAAACAAGAATAACAGGTTTACCTCCATTTGAATTACTTGCACTTTCTATCAGTTCTTTCAAGTCCTCTAGAAATTTCGAACCAACATGACTTGGATGACCATCTGCAGCTAAACCATAACGAAAATCATATGGTGCTCCAAACAGATTTTCACCATCTCTATAGCCTACTTCTTCCAAAGCCTTCACAAGTGGCTCCATATATGCTGTGATTTTCCTAAACATGTTTAAAAAAAGAGTTACTACAAGGAATTTCATGAGTTATTGGTTGACACAGAATCGAAATGCTAATATCATACGTTACCAGTATGGCGTTATCATATAACGCCATACTGGTAACGTATGATATTAGCATTTTGATCAACTCAGGGAATTTCCAACACTAATAATAACGAATGACCAAAACACTCAATATATAACTCCCTATGTTTCATATTACTTAGCCTTGTTGACTTGACGCACTCTTTAAGAAAACTTTAATTGGAAGTGTATTTTACTAATGATGCTTTGGAACGCTAAATTTGACTACTACTATTTTATGTAGTTGCTCCTTTCATTTCAATATGATTATCATGTTTTTCTTTTTAGTCTGTTCAAAAAGAGAAATGTTTCTTTTCTTTTTTTGACAACTCGTTAATTCCAACTTTTCACATGGCATGTTTAAAACCACACAATTAAAAGACATATTTTTAGTGTATGACCACATGATTCAACAGTCTTCGTTACTTTCTTAAATTCTGTGCCAAGTCAAAATAGGACAAGCAAACTGAAACGGATTGAGTATTTAATACTAACAATTTGTTTAGTTGGAAACAAGTTATCCCGGGATTAATTATTCCAGAATAAGTTATTCCACCATGTATATGGGATAACTTGTCTCATCACTATGGTAAATATGATGAGATAAATAATTCAACGACTATCTAATACCTCCAACCAAACGCAGGATACAGTAATTCTGCATTTTATTCCAGAATTATTATACCTTATACCTCACACCAAACAACAAGTATATTTTTAGTATATGAAATGGAGGGAGTATCAAGAAAACCTCAAAACACAATGTAATTAGCTCATAAATAAATAAGTAGGAATCAATTAACTTACTGTAGATAAGGATGAAGATAAAGAAGGGATTTAGTAGAACCAAAATGTGTAATCCTAGTCTCAACACCAGGATTATTATAATAATCATCTAATTGTGTTTGATAATAAAGCTTCATCCTTTGATTAAAACACTTTGTGAAGGGTGACAAAAGTATACTTGGATCAAACCATATCCTAAACCAACCTTCACTATCTTTATTTAATGGATACAATTTGTTGCACAATAAGCTTGTAGACTTGTACTTTGAAGTTAATCTTGCCTCTAATTGGTTTCCACCAGCTCCTGGTATCAAGATTAGAGGGTTGAGATTAGTAGTAATTGCTTGGCAATTAGTGGACAACATTGTTGATATTATGAATATGATTAGGATTTTCATGGCTAATTAATTAACAATGTCAATGAACAAAGAGGAAGGAAAAATTATGTATAAGGCCATTGGTGTAAAATTAGTTTTGTGATTGGATAAGGATATGGAGAAACTTTGTTCCTTATATTTGTGGTAGATAATGTGTTGACGTTGTTAATAAATATATATACTATATGCTTTTGAGATCACCATTTAAATTGTTTGTAAACTTTTTTTACAAGTTTACCTGTTTTGGAAATAATTTAGACGTATACGATTAAGATTGAAAATTTGCATTTTGCATTCACTTTGTAACTTTTTTACAAATTTACCTATTTTGAAAATAAATTAAACGTATATAATTAAGAATGAAAATTTGCATTTAAATTGCATTAACTTTGTAACTTTTTTTTATATATAAATTTACTTGTTTTGGAAATAATTTAAACGTACACGATGAAGATTGAAAATTTGCATTTGATACGCATAGAATAAATGAAGTGACACCTCTCTATGGCAAGTATCACTAAAAAAAAAAAAATTCATTTTTTCATCTTTTTTCAACCTTATTTTTTTCTAATTAAAAAATAAATAAAGTCATGAAAAATATTATTTAATGCCTACATAAAAATATTACATATTGATATTAGATGCTCAATTTTCAGCTAAAAAACAACAACAACAACAACCCTATACAAGCATAAAGGACTATTTATAGCAGTTTCTATGCTCAATATTTACACATAACTTGTTTTTTCCAATAATAAATTTTCAATTTTTAAAAAAAAAAATTGTTGACATAGAAGTTTGCAGAAAATTAAAAATATTTTTATTTATTTCTATCATTAATACTTTTTCCACCAGCTAGCAGTCTAGTTTGTTATGGGTGCTTAATCATATTATTTCTATTTACTCCCGTTGCACTTTTACTACTTATCTAACTTTGCCACCCTTTAAGACATAATGATTAATGCGAGTATTTTATCACGATACTCATATTAATATTAATTGATGTATAATGTTAGGCTTTGAAAAATGATTTGAAAATAAATAACTAATGTTAAGGATAAAATAGAATAAACATTGTCTTCCTTTTTTAATACTCCCTCTATCCCAATTTATGTGACACATTTCGGATTTCGAGATTCAAACAAGTCTATCTTTAACCGTAAATTTTTCATATATTTTTTAAATATTTTGAATTATCAGTTATTGTGACTTATAGTACTTTTTATGTAGTTTATAAATATATAGATTTCATTTTAAAGAATTTAAAGATTTCATGAGCAAATTCTTAGTCAAACTTAAACTGTTTAACTCTCGAAAAGCGAAATGTCACATAAATTGGGACAGAGCGAGTATGTTAAAAATAACGAGTAAAAATGATAATCTATTTTTGAAACTGTAAACAAATAAAAGTGAATAGAGAGTAGTAAGTTTTGTTAAATCTCTTCATTTTTCTTTTTAACTTTTACAATTTAGCATTGTTTTTGCAATGGTAGGTCAGAATTCTCACTAAAGAGATCAAAATATGAAGAAGTAACCCCGCGAAGAAGCCAAAGGGGATTCAACCATGTATAAATAGTGTAATTTTCTACGAAAGGGGATTCAGATGAACCTCCTTGGCCCGGCCTGACTCCGCACTTGTGTGGTTGTATCATGTGTATTGCATTCAGTGAGTGGATGATCACTTCAACCAGCGACCTTGGCATCATCCCAGAACCACACATGCAGGTTCATTGACTATGACCAGCTTTGCCACCATACAGTGGCTAGTTTCAGGGACTAGCTAGCAGTCTTAGCTTTACATTCATCGATGCTCTACCACGGAGTTGGCATCGTGGAGTGCACATAACATAGGTCAGAGTCATGATGCAGAGCTCCCCCAGTTACATGTTCACAGGTGCACATTCAGTTTAGCCTTCAGGCCCAATTGCATGCAGCTATTGTAGAGCAGACATGCATATGTTTTCTTCCTAGAATAATCTTGGACTCGAGAGACATGTCGAGGAAGCTTACCAGGTCTAGATGACTCATTCCGCAGCAATGTGCATATACGTCTGATGATTCATAAGGCTGCACATACAATCCAAGATGGAATTATTATCCCGATTCTGTGAGGAATAAGGAATGCGAGACACCACCTCCTATATTCTCACTTCAAGAAGAGAAGCCAATTCCAGTAAACATGATGCAAAGAACTAGTCAAGAGAAACATTAACATGTTTAACACGTCTATCATCAAATTAAGAAAGTGCACAAATGAGTAATCAACATTCTCTGTATCAATGTAAATAGACATAGATGTACACTCGTCATTCCAGCATATATAACAGTAGTTCTAGTCTTCTAGAGGTAATATAACCCTATACTCTCGTAATGGTCCTCTCTGTGGTGATATATTCAGCAGATGCTCAAAAAGCTGCAAGTCTCATGCTGCTCAAGTTTGGCCAATCTTGTATTTTCGGGCATAGTGTTATGCCAGAAGCAAAAAGTTACGTGGAGCACCATTAGCATGAGTTGACTTCGCCTGATGCCAGAAAATCAGTCTTATTTCTTGAATCATGCTGCTCTCCGCAAAAATAGAGCCAACATGTAAGACAATGCAGAATCAATAGAAAATAAAGCAATGATAAACAGCCCAACTAGAACAAGTGCCAGTATTGCAGTCTTCAGCTGCAGCAAGTGGAGAAAGGGTTAGTTTTTACTTATGTATTGATCTCGACCAAAAAAAAAAGAGATGAACATTCTTTGAAACTATGCTTAATTTATGAGTCAAGCCCGTCAGTGCTAATCAACATCATTGAAACTAATGCTTAATTTATGAGTCAAGCATGTCAGTGCAAATCAACATCGTATTTAGCACATAGTAGAATCTCAAGAACTAAAAAATTTGGGTAAAATAATTTGTCCCTTCATCAAACAAAAGGGAAGATACTGTTCAATGTAAGATTTCCAACAATTAACTTCTGAAAGTCAAAATACAACAGCACAGAAATTACGCAATGCATGTAATTTTTAATACACCAAACCAAACACTGTACAAGAAATAATCTCGGCATAACTAATACAATATTACTAATATACCATACGCAGCACTATTCTTACACACCTTACCAAACGACACCTTAGTTGTTATCCTTATTTTCTAGCTTGTAATCCTTCTCTCTTAGTTGTATCCTTATTTTTAGTAGGCTTTTAATCCCACATTAGTTGGTGAACATCTTCCCTTAACTTTTGTAAGCCTATATAGAGGCCCTTAAGCCTTAAGGTAAATCATCTTGAATTTGAGTAAATCTTTTATATAAAGTTTTGACCTTTAGTTTGCTCCTTTTAAGGGTGTTTCTTCTTAAGAAGTAAGTGAGTCATCCTTGGAAATAGCCAACCAAAGTGGCCTCTTTTTCGCTATCGTGTCATAGCGAGGTTCCTAACCTCACCAATATTGGCACACCCCTGACGTTCCGGCATCACACATCCTTGGACTTCATTGAGAGAAGAAAAATTGAAGTTCTTCGCTAATTTTATCCTTCGTGTATGCACCTCTTCTTATTTGCACCTCATTTTTTGTGGGTTTTGTGGTTTTCCCCCTAATGTATACATCATTTTTATTTGCACGATATTATTTGTACTTGTTCTAATGTCACCTAACGTATGCATCATTTTTTTTTAATTTGCACCGTACCCATTGCAATATAACAAAACACTTCATATCTCAAGGACAATATAGGAATAATGTATATCAATGCCATTGCAGAAACTACCAAGAACTATAGAAATATATAGGTTCGTATCCTATTCCCTTTGTAGCATCTCCAACTCTTTTTTCACAAAGACGTGTCTAGTGGTGGCAAATGGGCGGGTTGGGTCAAATTTGGGCGGGTTGAAAATGGATCAGCATAAAATGGGTAATAATTCAACCCGCCCATATTTGATATGGGTAAAAATGGATTGGGTAACCAATTGATTGGATAAAATACTAGTTTACCCATATTTTTATGAGTAAATAGTACTCTACTTAAGAATTCAACATGGAGAAAATATTTTAGTCTTTTTTCAGATGAAAAATGTTGAAAATGCTTCATTTAGTTTTATTGTATCATAAAAGTCGAAAAAAGAAATCCTAACTTTTCAATATAAAATAAATTTATGTAATAACAAGGGGAAAATATTTTTAATTTCAAAGTAAATGAATAGTTGCATTTTAGGACTAAAACATGCTTAATGCACTTTAAGGCTTAAGCAATGTCAATACTAATACATGATTTGCTTATTTTACATTTTTATTTATTATCCAATATAAAATTAAACAAATATACAAATATAATCATAATTAACAAAAGAAATGTACATTTAAAATATATATTTTTGGAGGGCCAAAGACTTCACCTTTTCAATTATAGAGAATAATAGTTGGCAGAATTCCTCAACATGGTTGGACACTTTACTAGACTTCAGGCATATGAGGATATGCTTTGGTGGAAAGGCAACAATAGAGGAGAGTTCAAAGTGCATTCAGCTTACAGGCTGATAGATCAATCAAGCCAGCAGAGTCCCATCTGGCCTTGGAAACAAATATGGAAGTGTAGAATCCCACACAAAGTCTCATGCTTTATTTGGCTGCTAGCTAAGGAAGCTACCTGACTCAGGATAATGTAATGAAAGGGGGGATAACCTTATGCTCTAGGTGTTTCCTATGTGGGGAAACCTTAGAAACTGTAAACCACCTATTTCTACACTGCAAATACACTCAGCAGCTTTGGAGGATTTTTTTGAGCCTTAAAGGCATATCCTGGACTATGCCTAGGAGAGTTACTGAGGCCTTATACAGCTGGGAGGAGGCAGGTGCCCTTGCAAAAGACAAAACTAGATGGAGAATTATCCCTGCTTCAATATGGTGGGCAATCTGGAAAGAAAGGAATTCCAAATGTTTTGAAGGCAAAGAAAATAGTGTGCAAGATGTTAAACTAAACTGCATTTTGTTGTTATGTTTTTGGTATAATCAATTATACTCAAATGACACTGCCTCTATAGTTGATGTTTTAGACTCAATATAGAAATAGAGTAGGAGTGTCTAGAGTGCATTTGTATATAAGGTTTGAGTACAACCCATGTACTTTTGTGATATAATACAACGTTACCATTTTCAAAAAAAAATTATAGAGAATAATAATTAGTTCCATAGAAGAACATAAAAAGGAAGAGAAGTTACAATTTTTTTTTAGTGATATCATGAATTTTGAGTGAATAAAAGTTAGAAGGTTAACCCATTTGGCTAATTCATATTTTACCCATAGTTTACCCATATTTTACCCATGTCAAAAGTCACTCGCCCAACCCATTAAAATATGGGCGGGTTACCGAAATATGGGCTCATTTTGCCGGCACTAGACGTGTCCTTTCTCAATTAAAACTATGCCAAATATTCTGTTTTTGAGGTCGATTATGTATGTGAAGATAGAAATATGTTAGGATTCTTAGAGAAGGATCGAGTCACAGGACGATGAACAAGAAAATCTAAATCAATTGACTTTGACTTTCCCTTGCCTTTGTTCGAATTCCTAGATCGACCTATTTTTGTATATAACTTCAACTCATTGAAGGGAGACTGAAACCTTAGAGTTCAATGAAAAGAGAACTCCGATCTCTTGCTTTTTACTAAAATATGACTTACCGATTTATTCCTCAAAAGCCCCTTTAAATAGGAGTCTTATTACATCAATAGCAAGTCTAATTCTTATGAAAGTAGGAGACCTAAATCCTATTCCAAACTAATAACTATAACTTAACCTAATCCTTATAAAACTATGAAATATAAACCCTATTCTAGAATAATAAATAAAGCTACTAAAAATATAATTAAATACTTAATTTAAGGACTTCCAATGCATCCACAACAAAATACCTCTGATAAAAAAGATGATGAATTTCTGCTGAGGTGTGAATTTCCAAAGGATTTGGAAAATCAACTATTGTAATTAAATATGGATAGAGTCTGGATTAAGAGAGTTGACGAAGCTAGTGAGGTGAACATTAAAAAAGGTCGAAAAAATGGGATAACAGTATTATTCCTTTTTGAATGTGAATATAAAAGGCATTGATAGCTGAAAAATGGTGCATACATTAGGTGCCAAACCCAAAAGGTAATAGGATAGGTGCAAAACAGAAAGTCGTATACACTAAGGACAAGTCGTAAAAAGAAATAAAAAACATATAAAAATCAAAGAAACAGGACATACATTAGGGTGCAAAATGCAAAACAATCAAGCATGCCCCTCACTCCCATGGATGCCTCTTACCTCAGGCGTGTGCCATGCATGCCTGCACGCCATTGCACTCCATGGTTGCCTTGTACACTTGGCCCCACCCTTGGCCATCTCATGGACCTTAATTTTGGTGTTTGTAGTGGGTTGTGAAAATGTACAAGAGCATTTCATATTATTGTATTGAATCTAAAACAAAAGTTACATTGCTTCTACATGTCAAGTTCAATAGCTAGCCCTATAAAGGCCATTAACTATATTTAGCATTTGTGATTTTGTCTTGATGACCAAGAGTTGAGTATCCTGAAGTAACAAGCCAAATGTAATGTAGAGCTGGTTACTCCAGTGCACTAAGTACACAGAATGATAACAAGTGGGTGTAACACATTATCAGCACATTGTATTGGGCTATTGGCCACATACACACAACAGAAGGTAAATGATAATTACCAAATAGAAAGAAAAGGTTTTACATACTAACCGTGCTTTGAAATCCAGGCCACTCTATGTACTTCAGCTGACTTGGCTGCTCAACCAAGAATTCCAATATAGATTTTGCAGCCCTGAGTCATTAACAAATAAATATTTTCAGAACAGTATCAATACATCATCAAAAACATTTCATCTAGTTAAACTTTCACAATTCATATTATTAGAGGATCTTATAATAACATGGTGCAGCTCCAGATTACCAAGTACATGACCTTAGATAGGGGGTGTGGAGGTCACGTATTAGGGTAGAAGGCTAGTAGGTACGGAGTGTTGTCTTGCTTTTCGAGGGGTTTAGTCTTATTCTTATAGTGTCTTGCTTTTGATTCCGTCATCATCTGTTGTTTAGGTTATCGCACTATTTTGTGGTTGTTATTGTTTCCTTATTAGTTGTTTAGTTTTCTTCACAGTCGTTTTCACTTTTTCATACCTACTTTGATATTTTGTACTTGAGCCGAAGGTCCTCCGGAAACAACCTCTTTACCTCCACAAGGTAAGGGTAAGGTCTGCGTACAATCTACCCTCCCCAGACCCCACTTGTGGGATTTCACTCGGTATTTTGTTGTTGTTGTAGAGGACCTTATAATATCCAAGCAAATAACAACAACATACCCAGTTAAATCCCACAAGTGGGGTCTGGGGAGGGTAGAGTGAACGCAGACCTTACCCTACCTCGTGGAGGATAATATCTAAGCAAATTATTATTAAAAAATGGATATCAAAGCCAAGGAGAAAATATTGGAGAAACTAGTAAAACCTCGAGTCATCACATCAAGATACAGAACTTCATCAAAAGGAGATCTCATATAAACAAGATCTCAAAACCTATTTCTCAATGGAAATTGAAGAAATAATTAATTTGATAAAGGGATTTGAGGAGCTTGTAGCTCCAGAAAGTTAATATTGGTCAAAAGAAAAGGTCTAATATTAGGTAAGTTGATATCTTTTCTCTCACCTACCTATACAATTTCACTTGCAGAAACTATGTTATGCATCAAGTTAACACGCACATACTGTAATTGACGTACCGGACAGCTTGCTTTGTAGCATTTATCCAAAATGGATCCTCATCATCATTGACACTAGATTGATAGTTTCTTTCTACAAATGAAGCACATTTGACAGCACGACCAGCAAGAGACAAATGCGTAATGCTTCTACCAGGAACCTGCAAATACCAAAACTCCAGTTTAAGATGTATTATCATCACAACAAGATACCGAGCGTAATCCCACAAGGGGGGTTTGGGGAGGTTAGGATGTACACAGACCTTACCCCTACCTTTGTGGGGTAGAGAGGTTATTTCTGGTAGACCGTCGACTCAAGTAATCAAAGAAGTATTCAAAGGAAAATAACAACAGTAAAATAGCAAGATGAACAAAGCAAATGAAGAAACAGGTGTAGTAAAAATTGAAGAATAAGATACTACGAAAATACTAACTAATACTACTAAATAAGAAAAGAAGAAATACTACATAAACCTTTCTAGACACAGGCTGAACGCAATCAGGACTTTTGAGTGTGCTCCTCTTGTAACTCACAATATGGGACGGCAATCTTGGATAGACTCCATGAATTTTGGGGCAGAGTACACCTGATGTAAATTGATTTTTAGGAGATTCACAGAGTTGTTTTAGATTAATTGAAGCCACAAAGAACCGAACTACATATGTGCAATGGAGAATGGAACCTGTAACCAGATCCGAACGCCAGCTGGAAATACTGACCATCTCAGTGATTTATCACAATGTTAGACACTTGCTCACTTGCACCGGGCAAAAGTCTCTGAACAAGTGTATGAAGACTGCAAAAAGGGGTTGCAACAATGAATCATCCGACATCAAAAGGGACATAGTAATGGTACTCATACAGCTGAAAAGTACAGTCATGCAGTGATCTATAGTGATGAATAATGGCATTGAAAATGTGTTACATCAAATAAAGAACACTTTTGAATACCCTTCGTTTTTTTGAATAAGAGAACTCATATTGCAATCAAAGATGATTCATACAATTACAAGTTATGCAACTTAACATCATACAGCAATGTGCGAACTTGTTAACTTATTTAGGGACAACAAACAAAAGTAGCCAAAACCACAGATATGCATACACAACACAAATATACTGAATAGTGGTAGCAAAGGGCAGGTTGGGTTGAAAACGGGTTATAACTCAACCCATCCACTTCAAAACAGGTAAAAGTGGGTCAGTGAAAACCCGTCTGGCCAATTTTACTCATTTTACATGGCACATGAGTAGGAGTTGAATTTAATATTGATTATGGTTTATTTACTAACATCAATTTTGAGTAGGAGTTTATGTGAGATAACTAATTTTTGTAATATATTTGTTAAAACACGATTTATGTCCTTGCTATCATAGTGGTTATCTCATAGGTTAATTACAGTGTTAACTTAAGCCCCATTAGACAATATGAATTGAACTTGTGCAAGTTAAATCCAATGTTAGATATCTAGTCCTAAGACAAAATTTTGAGCCAACGGCGTCTAACTAGTGAAATCGAGAATTTATGAAATAATCTTAAGTTCTCTAGTTGGTCTTCCCCTAATATCCATTACCCAATTTTCCCTTCCCTACAACTCTTAAATCTCCTTTCACATATCCTCTCAAATTTCCCCAAAATACTCTCTCAATCTCCGAAATTGTTCAAAATTAAATAGCTTCAGACGAAAAAGAAACAAAAGTCAGCTAGCTTGCTACTAAGGCAACATCATTACAAAATTTAATCAACTTCAATAATTAAGACCTCTCTCTCTCTCCTTCCCTACCCTTATCCTTCCTTACGAAGCACCAATTACAACATCCCTACCATTTTTTTCTGAGGTTTCAACAACACCCATCTCAATTTTTTCCCCTCGAATTCCTAGGGAAATCATTTACACCTAAAATTACTTAAATAAACACACCAAAAGAAGAAAATTTTAATGACATTATTTCGCAAACAAGGCAGAGTATGGAAGCAGAAAAAAATAGAGTGTTTGAATTGTAACACAAAGAGATTAGGGTATTTGTATTTGGCGTGAGAGAGATACAAGAACTTACAGAGCCGGACCGAGGTAGAGACAGAGTGGTGTCGACTGTCGAGCAAGAAAACATGAGTAACTGACTGTAATATGGGTGTTAAAGTGGGTCGGAAATTAATATTTGGGTTGCATTGCTTATTGCCCACCCAACAAGGGACTAAATAAATGGAAAATTACCTAAACATACGACTTATTATATCATATTCTCTAAAATTTCTTATCATTTGAAAAAATTACAAAAATTGCTACTCTCTTCTATTCTCGGATACATCACTCTATGCAATGTATCAATCAGATACATTATTTTTACGCGATGTATCAAACCGTACATGATATATTGGAACACTAAGTGATGTATCCGAAACTGAGACGTGATGTATCGAAAAAGAGATTGAGGGATGTATTCAAAATTGGAACATGATGTATCGAGACGTTTTGGGATGTATTCGAATTCCACCAAATTTAAGTGATTTTTGTAATTTGGAAAGAGTAGGGATATGATGTAATTAACTCTTAACATTATGGAATTTGTGTGAAATTCTCATTATAAAATTTGATAAGTAAATTTCATAAGTACCCAATTTTTAAAGTTTGTCATCGGATAATATTTTAGGAACTTTCAAAAATAGCAAAGATTAGAAATATTATTAGGTCTAATAGCTAATATTTAATTATGATTCGTAGCTACATGTTAGAACGGGAGAGGTGAGCGAGAGAGCGAAGAGAGGAGAAAAAGGTGAAGTGTAATTGTATATATGCTAGACAATGTATATAACTAGTATGTATATGTATGATGTATCAATGAATGCAATTGTATTACAAATATAATTTGTATCAATGAATATAATTATATTAATCAATAAGATGAATTCAATTGTAATAGTGAGTGCCACTTTTATATATATATATATATATATATATATATATATATATATATATATATATATATAACTATTTGTTGCCTTGAGAAAGTTATCATGTGTATTTTTATATTGACTGTTAACATGAGAAGGTTATCATTTGTTTTTGTATATTAGTTGTTAATATTTGTATTTATATTGAGAGAAAAGGGATGAGGCGAGAGAGAGGGGACAGAGATAAAATGAAGTATACTATTCCATATCACTATTAAATTGAAGTATTCTTTAAGATTATCTATTGACATCTTCAAGAATTCAATGACCATCTTAATGGGGTTACAATATATAACAAATTTGTTTATTAGAATAGCTTGGTTGAATTCAGACGACTCATCTTCTATTGACTCTGAGCTTGTATTTTTCTCTTAATAATCGAGTGATGTCAAAGAACTGAAGGTCTTATCTGTGCATTCATGTTTTCATTGACTTTTTTCTAATGAAAATTTTGACTCAATCATTTCATATTTGATATGTCTAAGATCACAATATTTAAAATAATACTTTTAATTGTACGTGTAGAAAGTTTTTTTTTTTTTTAACTTACGCGTCAAGTGAAAATGACGAACCTCTTCCCTCATACAACCCCCCCCCCCCCCCACCACCACCACCACCACCTCAAAAAATGACTTTTGCAACAGTAGAAACTAATGTACACTCCTAATTATTTAGACGTGTAACTAGTTTTCCTCTAAACCACTTTAATTAGAACCTACTATCCAAGCAACTTAATTAAAGAAGTAAAATAGCTAGTCTTCAAATTAAAGACAACAATGCCTATATTGACATATGTAAACTCCATGACCAAAAAAAGTTTATTTATCTATATATAAATTAAACTCTATGATATAATTACTACTAATTAGCTTCATTTTAAAACATGCAAAACCATTCATGCACATAAGCTGTTTAAAGTCGGCAATTTTTCTAGCAAGCAAAGGTACTAGAATTGATCATTAATTAATTAATGCTTAATTATTTCTTCAATTATTTCCTAAGTTTATTGCTTGCTGCTTCTTCACATTCTGCCAGCTCTTTCAAAAGTCAACCCCAACTTATTTCACGATAAATTAAAGTATACTTATGAGTTTGACTAATATTTATGTAAAATATATTTACACTATCAAATCATCTTTACTTGATATAGTTGGTAATATGTTAATCTATTTTATACGAAGGATAATTACCTATAAATATTATTTGAGTGACTTGATAATGTAAAAAAAATTATACCATCAGATACATAGGTAAACCTTTTTATTTTATATGACACTTTTTATTCTTAAGTTCGTTTGATTGTGGGATAAAGATAACAATCTTAAAATAAAATGTGAATAATTTTATCCATCATTTGTACTAAAATGATGAAATTTGTTATCACATACGGAAGGTGAGATAGTTGGTTCCATGGGATATTCCATCCTGCATACCAATGACAAGTTCTTGTAATAAAATTGATATTTTTTTATATTCGAAAGATGCAATGTCATAAATTTTTCATTAAACTCTTAATGACATTTTATAGTTACGAAAAAAATCATGACATGCTTATATTTAAAATGATACATTAAAAGATCAGTGGTGGATCCTCGAATGCAAGTTATTTAGTTCATGAGAACCCAATAATTTTAGTTCAAACTATATATATACAACAACAATGACAACAAGTTTAATGTGATCCCACAAGACACATGAGAGTCTACGAAGAATAATGTGTGTATTCAAACCTTAATACTTTATCCCTATCTTGTGTGCGGTAAAAAAATTATTTCCTATATATATATTTAATTGTATAACTAGTTATTATTAGATATTTCAATATAAAATGAGTTGGTACCTAGGGAGCATTCTATATAAGTACCCCTTCATCAATTCTCTCAAACATTTCATTCTTCTTTCCCTTTCCCATACCCTTCAAATAAAAATAACGAAATCGAGCACCTCAACGTACATTTCACCTTCTCCATACGATGAAGGTGATGAAAATCTTAATATCCCTCACCATCACCATGGCGTTCGCCATAACTATCATCACCACCACCACCACCACTACTGATATTACGGGGGACAAAAAAGCACCAATTCCCACATTGCCCCCGTTGAAGAGAAAATTAGTAGCAAGTCGTTTTCTCGCGGAACAAGAGAAGCCAAAAAATCCTAGAGCAGCCGATCACTGCCACAAGGATAACGAAATATGTACCACTCTTGAAATTGGCGGTACAAACACAACATGCTGCAACAATAAATGTATCGATCTATTGTACGATGACCATAATTGCGGTGCATGCAAGAAGAAATGTCCGTTTACGGAGACTTGTTGTAGGGGTGAATGTGTAAATTTGTCTTTTGATAAAAGGCATTGTGGATATTGCAACAACAGGTGCATGACAGGTGGATATTGTTTTTATGGAATGTGTGATTACGCCTAATTTGGTAATTTAATTTAATGTTTTTTATAATATAAAGTTCGTATTATTATTGTTTATGTTGAAAATAAACAACCACATTTGAGATATTTATAAGTGGTTGACGTCTCTCAAGAACATCATACATTATATATACATGATTATTTACGATTAATAATGATTCATCATTCAAATATTGATGTACTAATTTCAAGGATTGATTCTACGATATGAGTTTGTATACTCATGATAAGTCGTTTTTTTTTTTAACATTTGTTTTGTGCAATGAGCCAATTTTGTGCAATTTTAGAATATGTATTTTTGGTGTTATTTTTTGTGACTTTTTTTTGTTCACAAATTTAAAGTTAATATTACTAAGATTGTTTATCTATTTGTTAGTTGTTGTTGATGAATTTTAGTTTATTATATATTGTTTGGACGAGTTTGGCCTAATGGGGATGGATCTATAGAGTTACGAGTTCACTCGAATGTATAATAATTATATATATTAAAAACTTCATAAAAAGGATACAAAGAGTAGATTTAGAACATTGTTAATCAAATAGATTTAGGTGAAATTTCAAAACAAAACTCCTGAAATTTAAATTGTTAATTCACATGTAGTGATAGTGTGTTATAAAGAGTTTCATTTATATATGAACTATTTCTTACTTGTTAATTGGGTTTTGAATTAATCCTGAATTTGAATTATTATTTCTTTTTTGCCTTTTCAACTTTTATTTTCATTGGAAAAACTATTTGGTTATACATTAGATATATTCTATATATAATATAAAGTTGTACTAAAAATATCAATCAATTTCTAGGTGGAAAAATTATATGAGTTTTTAAATTCAGGAGAGATCTAATGGTTTTCCCAAAATATTGGTACTTTAATTAATACATTTTATGTATAGATACTCCCGTTCCATTATTTTACCTAGTCTTACAACATACGAGGTTAATTTGTAATTCTTCTTTTTTTTTTCTTTTGTAAAATTATTTTTTGTACAAAATTTTATTAATTTGAATTCGCACATGTAAGATTCATTAGAAAAAAATACGGTATTATCAAAATTTTCCTCATTAACAAAATAATTTGTAATTCAACTTTAAAAATTTAATCACTAATCATTGAAACCTTTTCTTAATTTACCAATGTATAATAAAAAGTAAGCTTAATTCCTTGGATCGTAAACATGCATGTGAAATGACAAAACCTAGCAAAATGTTTCTATCGAAGCAATCAATAGTCAAAGTCAACTTTAATCCCCAAATAAAAAGGCATAATATAAGTAGATTTTTATTCTTTTAATTTCTAACTTTTTTATCTGCATTGGAGCTCGATTAAATTCGAATTCGCATTGAAAAGTCCCATAAATGAAGGTAAAACGCTCCTAAGACATCTAATTAATGGTCAGAAATGTCAATTTCACTCAGAGGTTCTTGCTTGATCTAGCATCTTTAGATTGTTTAGCTATTGGCAATTCAAAATTACGATAATGTGTCTTTTTTCTTTTAATTTTAACTTTTAAACATCTCCCTTTTCAATTAATTATAATGACTTCTCCTCCTTTTTTAAATAATTGCAAGAACTCAAAAGTACTCTGTTTAAGTTAAATCCCACGCTTACTTCCTCCCTAAGCCATGATGTTAACCTTGAAATGTTCACCTCACATGCTATTAAACTAGATGCTCCCTCTATCTCAAATTATTTATCGTAATTTTTTAAAATATAGGCATTTGAAATTATATATATCATTTTGGAAGTTCAAGGCATAACTAATTTTAAAAATCATTTTATCCTTCATAGTAAATATTTTTCATTATTACAAACACTTCAGTAGAATAAATATCTAATAAATAGAAATTAAATCTTAAGACATAAATAATGGTAAATAATAATAATAAAAACTCCTAATTAATATTTCTTTAAGGAACTCATAAAAAGAAATTACAACTGATCGTTTAAGAGGGAAGGAATATAATTTAATTTAAATTCAGTTGCTACTTAGTTTATAGATTCACAATCAAGTTTGTCTAAATAAAATATTGTTTCTGAATTTTGTTTAATCCAAATTCAGTTGCTATTCTCCCATCCTCTATTTACTTGCTCATTTTTTATTTGACACACCTATTAAGAAAATAATAATTGACATAGTGAGTCCATTTTAGTCATATTAATGAATAGAATTCCAGAATCAATTACTCATTAAAGAGGTTCTACCTTACTCAAAAATATTAACTTTCTAAATAAATTAAGGATATATAATAAGTAAAAAAATATATTATATTTTCTTGATTTGTCAATAATGACAAGTAAAAAGAGACAAATAAAAAATTAAAATTAGACAAGTAAAAATACAGTGGCAAGTTTTTGAAGTTTAAGACATAAGAAGATCATTTCAAATAAATTTAAACACTTGACTTGGCAATAAAACTCTAGCTAAAAATAAATGCATAACATTTCACTCTCTTAACTTCTGATGAGCATTGTGTTGCATTTCATGAGTATATGAAAAAACAAATTGTCAAAACAGAAAAATAAGTTTGAGAAATCAACACAGTGCTCAAACAATAAAGTGAAAAGTTACTAGCATTCTCTTGACTATAGTTATATTATCAAATCAAAGTAGTCAAATTGTTTTGAACATTCAACTAAGTTGTGATATAAGAATTGAAATTACTTGCTCTTTTTGTTCTTTAGCCTTCAATTTTTACTTTATAGCGGCTTTAAGTTTACAACTTTACATTATGCAAAATGTTAAAATCTAAAATAAGAATATTATTCCTCTTAATTTATGTTTGTGTTACATTTGTATAGTTCTTTTCATGTTAGTTATTATTATTTCTATTTTATGAGCATTTGTAAAATTACATTATTTTCTTATCGCATCAATTGTTGTAGAAGTTTGATATTTTTTTATTGGTTAAACCGAAAGCGAACCGTTAGAAGGTCAAAACCGAAAATAAAAAAATATATATATTATTAATATAGCGTATTTAAAAATCGAAAATCAATAAATCGAACCGATAATACATAAAATCGAACCAAACCGTACGCCCCGGTTATCATCGAAAATCTCATCTTTGTGCACAAAAAAAAAACCTAATTGATACTCAAAATCAATAATTTCAGTGTAAAAAGCATGAAACGGGGATTTTCGCCGGAAGAAGTGGCTGAGATGCCGCCGGCGCCGGAGATGGCGGCTGAAGGAGAATTCGCCACCTCACTCCGTGTGAACCTCCAGTTTCTAATTTAGTAAGTTACCTAATATTACTATTTTCTCACCAAATTTTATAAGGATTATCATGATAAAAAAAGTATAAAAAAAAAAGATTACCTATAATCTTTTTCTTTTCCTATGTAAAAAAAGATTTAGGTTTCTAAATTAATGATATATCAAAATCTCTCTCCATCAAATATTAGGATTATTATGTTTATAAAAAAAAGGTCCAAATAAACCACTAATCGTATTATTAAAAATTTATTAGCTAGAGAGAAGTTTTACTATTCTATTCAGTTTATTCATGACGAAGTATAAAAAAGAATCTCAAAGAAAACAACGTAAGGTGTTGAAGGTTAAAAAAGACAAAGCTATTGTTGGACATTCAATATTCTTGTGTACATCAATTCCAAGAAGATCAAGGACAAAAGTAAGCATAAAAAATATTGTGAAGAACGGTCAAAATTTTAATCCATCAACTAGTTGGCTTGGCTACAAAAAGGAAAGCAGGAAAAAGAGTTCAAAGGATCTTGATCAAATGGGTGACAATTGGTATTCTATACCACTTTCAGAATACGATATTCCAGATGACATTCCTAATGATCTTGATGAATTATTATGGGATAAAGATGTCTTTAATTTTTCTAATGATATTCCAGACTTGTATAAATAAATAAATATTAGAATTTTGATTACTAAATAATTAATAAAATTAATTTTCTTGTTATACTAATTTACTTCATTATAAAACATCATTACCTTATATACTTAATTAGTGTTTCTCACCTTTTTCATCCAAAAGAAAATGTTTATCCTTTTATGAAAAATTTGTAACATGAATTCAAAAAAAATCTTGATTTTTAAAGAAGTAAAAAAAGTTGATAATGAAAGGATAGATTAGGCATTTAAAAAATTTAATTAAGATAAAAGAAAAGTTTGATTATTTTCAAAGTTGAGGAAATCAAAAAATTTAAAAAAAAAAAAAAATTGGGATGAAAATGAGTATCACCCTTTAAAAAAAATCTACCACGTCCTTTTATTTACTATGCCAAAAGAATATCGACTTCTAAAATTAATGAAACATTAAAAATCTTTCTCCGTCTAATATAAAGATTATTATATTCATAAAAAAAGATTTCAAGACCACTAATCATATTATTACATATTTGTTAGAGTGAAGTTTTAATTCTTCTACTTAAGAATGAAGTGTCAAAATTTTAAGGATTAATCTTTAACTTTTGAGATATGCATGATGTATAATGAGATGGATTTGTCATGTATTTATTAAAAGTAAAATTTTTATAAATGACATATATAAGACTAATATTTTTAAGTTATGACAGTTTAATAAAATTTTCAAGTTGTAACAATAAAAAAATTTAGGTTGTAACATTTTCTTAAATTTTTTATTTATTAAATAATAGTAAAAACCATTTTTTTTTTAAATTCATAAAAAGAAAATAATGGATAATTAATTTATAGTCATTAATTTGAATACATTAAGGATAATTAATAATGCCATAAAGTTAGGAGATTTAAAACAAAATAGGAATATTTGTTTCCTTTTTTTACTCAATTTTTTTTTTTTTCAAACGTTTCTCTCTCCCTCGATTTTTTTTTTGTCAATTTGTTTTCCTTTTTTCTACTCAATCAGTTAAAAGTAATGCAAAAATCAAATTTTCTCTTCTTATCAATATTAATAAACACATGGTGGTAGATGATATCCTTCAGGTTAGCGTTCTTTGCGATTTATTATTTGTATTGTTATGTTATTCAAACGAAAAAAAATAAGAACGA